TCTTCCGAGAACTGCTCATGAGAGAACAGCTCTGAGAGGACGTGTGGAGGAGCGGGGAATCAAACCCAGTTCTCCCAGATTAGGGTCCGCGCACTTAACCACTACACCAAACTGGCAAACTGTCTGACCATCTCGTCCTTTGCCGTCCCCTTCTTTCCCAGCATCAGGGTCTTCTCCAGCGAGTGCTCCCTTCTCATTGGGTGGTGGCCACAGGCATAGAGGGCTTTAAAGGGGGGTGAGACAGATTCACGGAGGAGAGGTCCATCTGTGGCTACTAGCCCTGGTGACTAAAGGGAACCTCCACATCCAGAGGCAGTCAACCTCTGAGTCCCAATGCCAGGAGGCAACATCAGGGAAGGCTGTTGGGATCTACAAGTTCTCTCTCTGTGTGTGTGATTGTGAAAGAATTAACTGTTTGTTTATGCATGCTGATGTCCTAGCTAGTCTAGGTTAGGGACCCAGTGGGGAAGCCTGCGCATATCGGCCGCCAAAGCAAGGCGACTAAATGCATAATTGGTTAGCATTGGGATTCTCCAATTGGGTAATCAATACTTTGGGGGTGAACTAGAGAGTAAGCATTGGGTTTCAGTTTATTGATCTTTGTTCTTCTCCTCTAGAATCAGAGAGTTGGAAGGGACCTCAGGGGTCATCTAGTCCAACCCCCTGCACAATGAAGGAAATTCACAAATACCCCCCCACACACCAATGCTCCTTCTAAGCTGTGGAGTCTCATGAGCAAAAATTCTGCTTTGTGAGCTGCTGGCATTAAAGTTGTGAGCGAGCGATTTGGCTGCTGCATCAATTAGTTGGCTCTGGAGTCCTCCTTCCTGAGCCAAGAAAAAAATGTCTGAGTCAGAGGCTAAAAAACTGCAAGCTAGCTCACACTAACTCAGTTTAGAGGGAACACTGCCCCCCATACACACCCCCAGTGACCCCTGTTCCGTGCCCAGAAGATGCCAAAAACCTCCAGGATCCCCAGGCCAACTGGCCTGGAGAACAATTGCTTCCTGAACCCAAAGTGGTGACTGGCATTTCCCTGGGCGCGTCAGAAAGGGCTACGAGAACTAAGCACTGAGGCAACCCTTCCTGCCCTCCCTTCTCATGATCTGCCTAAATTCACATCGACCCCCAAGCTAACTCCAGGATTGGACGGCCCAGAAAAAGGCACAAAACCTGAATGTGAGTCTCGCCTCTCCCTGATATTGGAGTGGTGCCGAGTCCTTCTTTTGCTCTACAAAGAGCTGTCCTTTTGGTTTGGATTGCAAGAACTCTTCCGCACCGCACAAGGGCAAATCTCGCCCCCTTGGCAGGAATGACGAACAGGCGCCGGGGCTCCCGCCATCCCAGCAAGCCAGCCTCAGACAACTGGGGAAAGGGAGTCGTGGGAGGCCTCATTAGCTGCCAGCTACAAAGGCCTTTCCGCACCGGCGAGAAGAAATCAATCAGGCTCCGAGGAGGATGAATCGATCCTCAGATCTGCTTGCAGCAAAGAAGTTTAATGAGACGGGGGGGGGGGAATGCAGAACAGGGGGGAGGGCTCTGCTCGGCTTGCCTCCCCTCCCTGGCACAACTTGGGTCTGAATTGATCAGAAGACAGCTGTGCCCTTCATCTGTAAAGATTCACACACACACACCGGGAATCGGGGTTCTCCCATTCGCCAGCCCTTTTGCAACTTGATCCGCAGGTGGCGATGCTCACCTTCACAGCAGGAGGAACTCTCTCCGACTATCAAGCTGATAAAGGCATAGGAGCCAGCCAAATGTCACCAGCTAGCAATTGTGCCCCTGTCATTTGCTTGGTTGGGCCTCTCTCTCTGCCTAACCTTTGTTTCTTCCCAGGAGCGTGGGGTGGTGCACACATTTCTCCCCTCCTCAGATGAAGGAGGAGGAGGAGATTGGATTTATACCCCACCCTTCACTACCTGAAGGAGTCTCAGAGCAGCTTACAAACTCCTTTCCCGTCCCCTCCCCGCAACAGACACCTTGCGAGGTAGGTGGGGCTGAGAGAGCTCTTGACAGAAACTGCTCTTGAAGAAGAAGAAGAGATTGGATTTATACCACACCTTTCACTACCTGAAGGCGTCTCAGAGCGGCTTACAATCTCCTTTCCCCTCCCCTCCCCACAACAGACACTGTGGGAGGTCAGTGGGGCTGAGAGAGTTCTGAGAGAACTGCCCTTGAAAGAACAGCTCTGAGAGAACTTGTGACTGACCCACAGTTGGTTTTATACCCTGCCCTTCACTACCTGAAGGAGTCTCAGAGTGGTTTACAATCTCCTTCCCCTCCCCACAACAGACACCCTGTGAGGCAGGAGGGGCTGAGAGAGCTCTTTCGAGAACTGCTCTTGAGAGAACAGCTCTGAGAGAACTTGTGACTGACCCAAGGTCACACCGGCAGCTGCATGCGGAGGAGTGGGGGAATCAAACCCAGTTCTCCCAGATTAGAGTCTGCGCTCCTAACCACGACACCAAATTTATAAGACTCATAACAACCTTGTGAGGTAGGTTTAGGCTGGGAAACCGCTACTGGCTCAAGACCACTCAGCTAGCACTACGGCTGTGTTGACATCTAAACGTGGCTCTCCCCAGGCCTAGTCCAACGCGTCAGTCGCTGCATCTTACTGGCTCAACCTCAACCCAACTGAAATATCTGCAGCTGCCGAGTGGAACTAAGACTGCAGCCCGATTCAAAATAGTGAAGTGATAATATCAGGTCTATCGT